TATATATATATATATTTTAAATTTTATGAGTTAAATTTTTTTTTGTTGTGAGTTGAACAATTGTAAACACTATTCGTACTGAATTGATCTATTGTCATATTTATAAGTGATCATAACCTTTATTATCAATATATTTTCAACCAAAATAATGGAAGTCTCTTATAATTTTACATTAATAACAATAATATTCTATATTAAGCACAAAATTTTATATTTTTAATGAGGATAGAACCTATAAAAGTAATAGTCCAAGATAAGACTTACACAACATAAACTCAATTAAATAATATGAAAATTTTAATTAATAAATATAAAAAAGAGTGAAGACTTAATTAAAAAAATCCAATTTTAATAAGAAGTATAAAATTTAATTAAGTTTATTATTTATGCATTATATCGATTCCTTCTATCCTCTTTTTTACATGTTTTTAGATTATTCCATGTTGACGTTGTTAGTTTAACCATGTTATTAATTATTTTCCCTAAATTACATATTACTTATATTTAGTAATGTCACAACCGGAATCGCGACGGGACGACGATTCAAAAAAAGACGGGTTTTGAAAAAGAGATTTGGAGTCACCACCATAGTTTATTATGAAACACTACAGAAAAACCATAAAATGATAAGACACAGTCCACGAAAACCAGATTCCGAGTTCGGGAATCGGTTACGCGTAGGGCGAGCGATCACACATGCCCTTAACCTTTTGTAACATATTTTTGTAATTTTTATTTAAGAAAGAGAAAAGGTTTTTAGCACAAGGACGATGCGAGCAATCACACATGCGCTTAACATTTAAAACATATTTTTATACTTTTATTTGACAAAGAAGAAAAGGTTTTTTTAGCACAAGGACGATGCGAGCCATCACACATGCGCTTAACATATTTTTATACTTTTATTTGACAAAGAAGAAAAGGTTTTTTAGCACAAGGACGAAGCGATCACACATGCGCTTAACCTTTAAAACATATTTTTATACTTTTATTTGACAAAGAAGAAAATGTTTTTTAGCACAAGGACGATGCGAGCGATCACACATGCGCTTAACCTTTAAAACATATTTTTATAATTTTATTTGAGAAAGAAAAGAAGGTTTTTAAGCCAAGGACGATGCGAGCGATCACACGTGTGCTTAACCTTTAAAATATTTTTTTGTTATTTTCTTTTTAATATTTATATATTTAGAAAATTAGATAGATATTTAAAACGAAAAAGAGGAAAAAGAAAAAGAAATAACTAAAACAAAATAAAATAAAAATAAAATAGAAAAAGAAAAAAAATAATATAAAAATAAAATAAAATAACATAAAAAAGAAAATAATAAGATAAGAAACAAAATGGCAAATTGAAGACAAACAAAAAAAAAATAAAAATTGAGAGTTAAGCAGGGGAAGGCCCAAAATGTTAATGGGGAGGTAAAAACCTAAAAAAGGGTAGTGCATAGAGGAAACAGACCCATAGTTGCCTACGGGCTTGAAGCCCAACTAAGAAAAGGAAAAAGAAATGGGAAAGGGGGTGCCAGGATGAGAAGCGGAGGTGTGCTGCGAAGGATTGAGTTTTTTGTTTTAAAAAAAAATAATAAATAAATAAATAAAATCTGGATCTGGCCCAAGGGTTTTTCCAAGCAGAAACATTAGGGGTGCTGCCACTTCTCTTATTCTTCCATCTCGAGCACCACAAGACTCAAGTCTCTCTTCTCCCGGTCGTCTTCCCTGCACGCACACTGCCATCTCCGCCAAAACGGCCACCGCGCCACCACCCTCTGCAAGTCTCGATGTCGGCGGTGACCCCAAGTATCACCGGAACCATTGCCGACCGTGGCGCCACCGCCTTCCCCCTCTCTTGTCTCCCTTTGAAATTGGAAACCCAGGGAGAAGTTTGTCCCGTCCGCCGGCTCATGCCCACGGGCCGCCACCGGAACCGGCCATCGCTAACCGCAATCCATGGCGTCACCGGAGCCACCGTCAGCCACGGCGCTGGGTTCGCCTTTCCTCTTCTCCTCGCGCGTGGGAAGTTTTCCCCTTTCTCCGTCGAACACCGCCTGAGCGAGCCCAGACGTCTCGAATCAAGACACCATCGGCGTCGCCTGTCACAGCCAAGGTCGCCACCGGACATCGCCTCCACTGGAACTGGCCGTCGCCGCCTCCGAATCGCAAACCAGGGTCGCGCCGGTGACGCAACTCGCTGCCGGCGTACGTGACTCTTTTCTCCCTCTTCTCCTACCGTAGTCGCCCGCCACCACAGAGGCGGAAACTGCCGCCACAGAGGCCACCACTAGTGTGGTTCCCCGGTTTGTATATCATACGAAACGGCCACTGAGGCTTGTGGAGACGATGTTTGGGGATTTGGAAATAAACTGAGGCATAGAGGTTCAAATTCCTGGTTTGTTTTGGCTTGTGATTGCTGTAATCAAAGGTGGTTGGGGTTAGATTTTTGTTCTTGTAGACGAATGGAATTGGATTTTATGCGCTGGGTTGGGTCTTCACAACAAGAGTAGAACTTCATTGCCAATGGTGGCTGAAGAGAGTAGTGGTAAATTTGTTTCTTAATCTAGCATTGAATTATATGAGGGAATGGAAGAAACTGTAAGAATCGGAAGATGAGTAAATGGTTTATTCTTTGTATTTCAGGTGTCGAACAGAGTGGAGAAGAGAAGATGACCATGATATATACATACATGGTTTGGAATATTCAAGCAACAATCACACACAAGCGAACATAAAGCTATTCTAAACATAAAGCTATTCTAACAATGATTGTAAATGAGATGCAGCAAGCTTACTGAGCTCATTTCTCTATACTGTTTGCCTCGTGCTTAAGATGAAATCCCTTTTCTTCCGGCTTTCTTTTTTGTTTTTTGTTTTGTAAGTGAATGATGGATGTTGTAACAAGGGTGAATCGGGCTTGGTGTTGGAGGTGCCTGATAGGTGGAAGCCAGAAGATGAATTGTGATCCCAAAATGGTTCCCCTCTTTTTTAGCCTTGTTCACGCTTCAGATGAAGCTTAAAGTCAAAAGCATCGTCTGTCAAAATGGATGCTTCCTACAACAGCCTCTGTCCTGCTCTGCTAAGATAGTATAGACGCAGCATGCATGGCCAGCGGAACATTTGCACCATGGGAGATGGCGTGATGGAACCAGAAAAGCCAAAACGCTAAAGTTGGTTCAAATTAAACTGACATTTTTTTGTTTTATTTCTGTTTTTTTTAATTTGACAGAATGAATTAAAGTAAAAAGAACGTAAAAATAGAATAAAATAAAACAGACTAAAATAAAATAATTCTAAATAGAATAATAAGACTAAAATAAGAATAAATAAACTAAACACAATATAATAAAATAGAATATAATAAAATAGAATAAAATACAATATAATAAAATACAATGGCTCAAAATAATAAAATAATAAAATAAAAAAAAAAAAAAAAAAAATAACATAAATAAGATAAAAAAATAAAAAATAAAAATTTATTATTAGTTATTTATTTATCCGGATGAAATTGGGTTTTGAGCGGAAAATAAAAAGGTAAACCAGTTAAACAAAATAGCTGGAACCAAAATTAGAAATTTTTGTCTAAATTAATAGATCGAAAAGTAGAACAGAGATCAGAAAGTTAAAATAGAACTGTATATATAATGACAGTAAAAACAAATTAAAAGAATATCCTCAGAACAAAAGGTTCTCCAGTTTGTAATTTGTAGTGGATGACAAATAAACCTTTTCATTGAACTTGTTCTAGTTTTTATAGAGAATTCTGACATATCTAGTATAAATATAAATAATATTTAATTTTTAAATTAATTATGTAGGTATTCATGTGTTTATTTCGTTTTCATTTTTATATTTGATTTTGTTTTAAATTCTAAAATACTCATTGTTTATTTGTAACTCAAAATACCCAAATTTTAAAATAATTTTTCTTCTTACAATTTTAGTTACACAAGTTTTATTTATTTTAATTTTTTTTAGTATTTTAAAAAATTAATTTTTATGGTATTTTTAAAACTTCAAGTTCATTGAAAAAATAACTTTTAAGATAGAAATTTGATTATTTTATCAAATAGTTACATTTTTTATGATTTTGTTCAAATTAAATACAATTCTCTATTTCATTAAATTATCATTTCATTATTTTTACTCATATTTTATTTTTATTTTTGTTTAATATTTATGTAATTATGATATATTTTAAATATTTGATAATGAAAAAATTGTGTATCCATAAGATCATTAATAATATTACGTTTATTTTATTTTTTTTATAAAAAAACATAATTATTGTATAGAATAGTAAATAAATTGATGTAGTCGCGACATTACTTGAGATTTAAAATGCAAATGAAAATTAAGTATAAAAATACAAATGAAAATGAATATGTGAATAATAAAGTTGTATTTGTCTTATTTTTCCCTGCTATATTAAAAAATAGGGTTAAATATGTTTTTCATCCCTTAATTATTATACGATTTTGGGTTTAGTCCTCACTCGAAAATTTTTGTTCCTTTTAGTCTTTTTAGTTTTAAAACTCGTATTTTTAATCCTTAAAAAGTAACTGTGTTACATTTCCTTGTGAGGTGGTTAACGGCAAGTCAGTTTGAGACCATTTGTGTGTACGTTGCTTTTATTTTTTGAAATCAGATTTAAGTGACATGCCACATATGTTTTCATTTATGAAATTAGATTAGGGCTTTTTTATGTTTGAAAATAATTAGGGTTCTTAGCAAAATTCAAAAGTCCTGACAACAACATCAACACCCATCTCTCCCTCTCCCACCAAACAGCAAACTCATCAGGTTCATATACTAAAAAAGGCACAAGTTCAAATTCTGAATACATCAATTCAACCCACGACTCAATTTCTGCCCCTTCTTAATTCCCTCGCTATTCAATTACTTCCATGGTCATCACCATGAGTCCACCATGGACAACTCCTAGAAAAGGGTAATCACAATGATCTCCCTACACTAATCTTCTTCACTAAATCAAAATCACCACGAAAATCTGTAGAAGAAAATTCAATCGAATGCAAAGAAACCATAAAACCCCAAATTACACTTGCGAAATCGCACGTCATCATCTTCTTCGCACCTGAATAGCAAATTCTAGAAATCAACAATCCAAATCGTGAAACCCTAACTCGCAAGACATCTTCCTTCTTTGCGCCACTATTCAGAGAATCTCCTTCGTCTTGATCGCGCCATGGAAGCATTAAACGCCTCCCTCATCTCCTTCAACCTTTGTCCAAGCCATTACGCCTGCAGCAACCTGCACGAAGCAACCTCCATCTCTCGACACTTCTTTGTCTTCTCCGTTCAACTTCGTGCAAATCGCGCCTGTCTTCAATCAACCACTTTTACCCGAACCTGTCTTCAATCATTTATGAAATCAGATTAGGGGTTTTTATGTTTTAAAATAATTAGGGTTCTTAGCAAAAAGAGTAATAAAAAAAAACGTGACACAAAGTTAGCAGGGAAAGCGACATCTAATGTGGCTCGCCGTTAGCCACTTCATAGGACTAACGTCGTTGATTTTTAGGGACTAAAAATACAAGTTGATTTTTAGGGACTAAAAATACAAGTTGATTTTTAGGGACTAAAAATACAAGTTTTAAAACTAAAACGACTAAAAGAAACAAAAGTTTGGAGTAGGGACTAAACTCAAAATCGTGTGAAGAACGAAAAACATATTTAATCCTAAAAAATATTTATTTAATATTTTTTATTTAAATTAAGTTTTAGAAAACCTTTCAATATTAAAAAAATATAAATATAACTAATTATTATTTAAATTTAATTATTTAAATTTAAAAAGTCAAAATTAAGATATCACTGATATTTCACATTTTACATTCTTTTACTCTAAATAAAATATATCCACAGAATACATCCATAAAATAAATAACAAACTATTTTGAATAATAAATCTCATACGTCACTCTACTAACATGATCCCACTCAACATCTGGAGTTGGAAAAACTCCTATAATGACTCGAACTCCATTATTTGTTTTCAAAATTTCTAAGATGTGAGTCATTTGTTTTGAGGGATCTTCCGTTATATGTACTTCTCTCAATTCATTCAAAGAACAAAGTTCAGTTGGGAGATGATCTAATGGTTGACATCTCTGGATAAACACATTTTGAAGCTTCTGCATCGCACAATTGCCTAATCTCCACTTTCGAAGTTTTATATCTCTCATTTTAAACACTTCAAGTTGTGGGAAGCCACCATCGGCACAATTGAGGTCAAAGGAATCCTCCTGAAACAACCCTGTTCCCCGAAGTCTCAAAACTTTGAGTTTGGAGTGATTTGCGAGACTATTCATCCCCTCATCAGTAATCCAGTTAATCTGTGACAATGTTAACTCTGTAATGTTTGGGGGTAATATGAGCATAGAGGTTAAAAGATCTACAACATCACTAATTATTAAGATAGTTAAACAACTTAATTGTCCTAGGCTTTGAACCCGTTCTTGTAGCTTGTAACCCTGCCGGAAAGGGGACAAAATCAGTAATTTATTCAAATGATTTAATTGTTGTAGGTTCTCTAATAAATTGGGTAATTCACCTACGAAACCATGTTCCTCCCTCAACCTCAACCTCTTAATATTGGGGAATATTCCTTTCTTTATTAGAGATATTGCTTGCGTATTTGATACAAGAGAGATGGTTTGAAGATTCCACATCTTCTCATCTGGTTCTGAACATCTTCCTCGCAACTTGATAGGCCCTTGTGTATACAAGTGCCTTAAATGTTTCAGTTTCCAAATTTGACCAGGGAAAGACACTGGCATGAGATGGTCCCAACTACCCAGGTCTAAGGTTTGTAGATTCCAAAGGTTAAGTATCGAATCTGGAACAAATGTATCATAACTAGATAATATTTTCAAGTACCTTAAGTGGATGAAGTTCCCTAAGTTGGAAGGGATCTTGTTCCGGTCGTTAGGTCCAAACTCTAACACTCGAATCAATTTGAAGTCGTCCAAAAGCCATTTCCACTCTCTGCCACGAACCTTATAATGTGGCCCAAAGAAAAACAGGGAACGAATACATGAATGGTCATTACTGCTTGAAGAAATGTAGTGACCCATGTCTACGTGAATGGACAGTCTACGAGGTTTGGTAGGGAGTAGAATGTTATTGTTTGTGCAAACTTCAAACACTTTGTCCTCTTTGCTCTCTGATATGCAAAGATCTCGAAGAAGATCATGAACCTTACATGTCTCCAAACCTCTATTAAAATCCATTCTTGCTACCTGGACCAAACTGCGATCGATGAGCTCGTACAAGTAGTCTTCCGCAACATCATCTGGGTCTCTATTTCCTGTATCTTGTATAAAACCCTCAGCAACCCATTTTTGCAATAATGGCGTAACAGGTATTTCAAAGTCTTCAGGAAATAATCCAAGATAGAGAAAACATGGTTTTAGTCTCCTTGGCAAGTTGTCGTAGCTGAGTTTGAGAACTATATCCTTCACTTGGGTCTCATCTCGAGTCAGATACCAATTAACATGACCTACCACTTTAGACCATTCACGATCTGACTTTTCCTTCTTGGCTAGCAGCCCTGCTAAAACAACGATGGAGAGCGGCAAACCACGACAACTTTGAACCATTTGCTTTCCTAGAGGCTCCAAATCAGAAGGGCAGTTTTTACCCCTAAACGCTTTCCGGCAAAACAACTTCCAACTTTCTTTTTCACTAAGGAATTGAAGATGGTGAGGATCATCATCACCAGCATGCAAGGCCACCTCTTTCAAACGACTAGTGATCAATATTCTGCTGCCTCTGTTGTTGTCTGGAAAAGCATCTTGCACGTCATCCCAATCCTGCCTTTTCCACAAGTCATCTACCACCACAAGATACCTTTTCCTCTCCAAGTAGTTCCACACATGTTTCTTCAGTTCCTCCTTACTAAGGTCCTTAATGTCTCCTGCGCTTTTGTTGCCTCTTTTGTTGCCTCTACGTTGCTGTTCAAAATCTGGCATCAAATGCTTATGAAGGTCAATCAAAAGATCATGAACTCTACACTCGTTTGAGACATAAACCCATGCATGACAATCGAAGTGGCTCATCACCTGGCTGCTATTATAGACCTTTCGGGCAAGGGTGGTCTTCCCCAATCCCCCCATGCCAACGACAGAGACAACTTCACGATTTGAACCACCTCCTAGGAGTCGCTTGACGACATCCTTGGAGTCGTGGACAAAGCCAACTACATTTTCTTCCTCCACGTCTCTTCTTAGCTTGTGCAGCAATTGCAACCTTTCCTTCTCCTCCTCTTCCACTGCGGATTGATCAGTGGTTTCTTTGAAAGCATCATATTTGTCCTTGTTGTCGCGTATCTCGTTGAGAGTGGTTTTGAGCTTGTCTATTTTGTGGGCTACGTGGTGGAGCAACCTTTCTTGGCCAAAGCCACGGAGCATCCTCCCTAGAATGGTTCTCCTCTTGTAAATGGAAACTTTGGCTACGAAAGTGTCGATGACATCCTCAGCTAAGTGGGCCACATCTCTGATTTGGTTCAATACAGTATGTTCCATTCCCTTCTTTCTCTTTGTGGTATTGAGTAGCTCTTTGATCATTTGAAGTTCGTACTGGAGGGACTGGACCCTGTCCTCCACGCCACACAGCAAGTTAGCTTCGCGTGAGGCAAGCTGGGCTAAGTGATCTAAAACAAAGGTAACTACACTCTCTGCCATTACAGCGTGCACGAGAGTGTAGATTTGGATCCGTGGTTGGATAGTGAGTTTGTGGTGGGTGATGGAAGAAGACTAAGAGGGAATTACTAAGGCAGCAGAAAAAGCAATAGAGTGTAGCTTGCAATCGCATAGAAAAGAATATTCAAATGTATATATAAAAAGTGGCTCCAATTGTAAAGAATATATATAGACTTTGGTTCAAGAACCTTCCTGCTATATGCATTGCACCTTCCTGCCATGTGCATTATTGCACCTTTTACCCATTTGATTTAGAATATTTATATTTATGACAGTACTGTGTTCAGTTTGTTTTCTCGGTATTAGATGGCACAGAATAATATATATGTAAGTGGCACCTTCGTGCATTGTACCTTCTATCCATTTGGCTTAGAATATTTATATTTAGAAAACTCACAACTTAAAATACAACTTAAATGTGTGAAGTGATGAGCACTCGTTACAAGCAAACAATAATTCTTTCGCTGGAGCACTCTCTCACACACTTGCACATCATGCTTCGCAAATTTATAATAGAAAACTTCACTGCACAACAATCATCACACGCCACTAGCTACTAAATTATCACAATAATACAAAAACTTAGTTGGCAACTTTCTGTACCCATTTGCCCACTTACTAACAAGGTAGGGCCATTTAAAGTTGCCAGCTAAGTTTCGACCCTCAGATTTTTAGCATTTCGTGGTTGGATAAACTTCTCTGTAAAAACTTGTGGATAAGAGAACAAGAATATCAAATGAATTGATCCTATCTTAATGGCTAAAATCAACTTATGCATTTAGGTTTTATAAAAGTTAAAAGAGATAGGTTCTGTGGAAATTAAGTTTGTAAGTTACTTTAGCTTATACCAGGAGTTCAATTAATTTTATTTTTTGTTTTCCCTTTTCCCTTTCTATTTGATAAGCCTTTCTATTTTATATGATGTAAGTATTAATATTTTCGGTTTGAATATTGAAGGATGTTGTTTACGGTGATAGTTTTCCTTGTTTTATGATACGTAATGTCTTAAATTGACTTATGTTTTGTTTCTTCTTCTTTACCAGGTTTTGATGCGTATTTTATATGATGTTGCCATCGGTAGACATTCTGCACACCGAATGGTATCTCTAAACATGTCTCCAAATAATATCTATTAACTTTTTCTTTTTTGAATTTTGTAATTCAGGATCATGTGCTTATAGAAATTAAGGATGGTGCATCTTTGATATCACCTTGTAGGGTTTTCTTCATCATCGATCAGGTATTGTTAACATTATTCTAATTATTCCTTTTAAATTAAATTAAATTATAGCTTCCCATGTGTAGAGAACATTTCCTTGGATTAAAATATCTATCTTTGGGAAAATCTAGGATTCAACTTGATGGCTTCATTCATTATTAGGTAGAATATAAACAGAAGTTCTTGTACTAATTTATGAAACAAAATATCTTTGTATTCTAAATTCTAAAGAAAAACATTCTGGTTGAATTAATTGAGATGCTTTTTTATAAGTTTCTTAGGCTTGTTTATAAGTTTTTTTTTTTAGTCAATTTTGATCTATTAAATTGTGACATATGGTTTATTATCTTTGTAAATTTTGTGTTTTATCCAATTTCGATTAATAGATGAATATATGTAGACAAGTAGTTACAAGCTCAACTTCATCTAATACTTCATTAACAATATACATTAGTTCTATGAGATTATATATATCTATTATTTCACAGATTAATCAACTATATTTTTCGTTATATGTGAGAATTCTTTTCACATCCAACAATATCATCATTTTAATGTTTTCATGACTTTCACATAAAATACTTCTCCTCATAGTTATCTATCAAATAACATGTAAAAAAAGAGGACACTTAAAAAACACGTCATCGATCTAATATAAATTAGGATGAAGGCTATGATCTTCACACAACTATGTATGAAGTTATATAATTTCATTTCCTGGTATGAAACATTTCCTATGAAAAAGTATACACGTTTATGGTCTCAAATAGTATTACCTTAAAATTGAAAGGAATGTTTTTACTATATACTTATAAAAAAAATATTATTTTCATAATGATTTCCATATTGCTACTAATTAATGTAGTAGGTGATAACAACCTCCCCATATTTTCAATGAAAGTTTATCACTTTGTATTATTAACATGTGAAAATAAATAATATTGAAAAATAATAATTACACCACTCAAATAATATAAAAAAATTAAATAAATGCAAACTCAATTGCAAAATATAAAAATTTTAAGTACTGAATATATAAAAGTAATTCAATAGATACATACTAAATTTGCAATATGATTTTGGTTCATATGAGTGGAAATCAGAAAAATTCACAAAACTAAAAATGTCTTAAATTAAAATATTTACAAAAGTTTTATAAGTTAGAGTCGTCTTTTTTTAAAAAAAAAAACATTTTAGTATAAGATAAAAACATGTAATTAATTTCTAATTTCTTGCAAATTTAAATATTTTTAATTTATAAAATAACTGTATATGAACATTCTAATCAAATTAATATAATTTTTTTAAGAGATTTTAATATATTAAATCTCTGAATCATTATTTCATAAACAATAAAATGATAAACTAAAATGCAATTTCCATGTTTCCTTTTATTTTCCACATAATAAAAAAATAAAATCAAACATTCCATCCAAAAAACCAAAAATCAAAAACTGACTGCAAACTTGTAGAAAGAAAGACAAAATAAAAGACATAATGAACTGAAGGCAAATGAAACATGGAAGGCAAATGAGCTACTAACCATATTTAAGATACCTAATCATTCTCCCAAGGTGGAATATGTCCGGTGAAGACTTGAATCAGTTCTTGCGGTTTACAACCAAGAAAACATCGAGGAATAATCACTAATAGAAATTTTTACCTAAATTAGTAAATTAGTTTATAATAGATCGGAAAGCACTGATCAGAAAGTTAAAATACAATTGTATATATAATGATAGTAAAAACAAATTAAAAGAATATCCTCATAACAAAAGGTCCACCAGTTTGTAATTTGTAGACTATGCTTAGGTGGAGTGACAAATAAACTTTTTCATTGTTAATACATAATTCTGACATTTATCCATAATAAATATAAATAATCTTTAATTTTTTTAAATTCATCGTGTAGCTAAGCATTTATTTATTTCGTTTTCATTTTTATGTTTGTTTTTTGTTTTAAATTTTAAAATACTCATTGTTTAAAATACTCATTGCAAAAACCGGAATTTTGAAATACTTGTTCATCTTACAATTTTAATTACATAAATTTTATTTATTTTATGGTATTTTAAAAACTTCAAACATTAGTACAAAAACTGTGTATAACATCACGTGTAAAACGTCTCATAACAGAATAACCAAAGTAAAAATGATTGGTGACAGTTTTGTAAAAAAAATAGCCTTAATACATATAAACGTCGGACTCCACCAGATCAGACGTCAAATCCTCTGTCAGAAGGTGCAAAATCAGAGTTGAAAGGACACTTTTTCAGACATTAGACGTAAAACATAGAAGAGGTCAACCCCTAATACATTAGACGTCGAATCCCCCTCCTCATACGTCAATAAAGTACAAAAATACGTTAAAAGAAGCACCAAAATGGAATTTTTTAGCAATTAGACGTCGATGGTGGATCGGGGCGACGTCAAATGCCCTTTTAAATCCCTAAAACACACAGAACGTGAGCCTCACTTTCTTTCGTATTTTTGTTTGAGTTTTCGCTTCGTTCGCGTTTGTCATTGTTTTTGCAAGATATGTTTGATTGATTTTCTTCTAATTAATTTATTTTATACCAATTAACTTTAGTGCACCGATTAAATTTTGTTTGCACCCATTAATTTTGGTTTATGATGTAGTTTTGTGTGCAAATTGATGGATATTGAAAGCGGCATTGAGTGCCTAATCTCTATTGCTTGAAACTCATAATATGTATTATTTTCAGGTATGATAATATTGTAAAAATAAATTAAATTAAAAAAAACAAAATGGACCTCGATTTAGAAAGAGTTGATGGTTAAAATTAATGTCTGAGAGAGGAGATCCAACAATAAATTGACATCTCCTAATAAAATGTCGAATCTAGATTGAATGTTGAATATCGGAAATAAGACACGTTAATTTTTTTGCAGTGGTGAAATACATTAATCAATAACTAATAAGATGAAAATGTGATTATTTTACCACAACTTTAATTACATTTTTTTTTGTGATTTTTTTAAAATTAAATACAATTCTCAATCTCCTCAAATTAGCAATGAATACTTTTATCTATTTTTTATGGTTATTTTTATTTTTATTTTTGTTCAATTATTTATTTTTATTTTGATTTAATATTTATGTAATTATGATATATTTTTAATATTTGATAATGAAAAACGTGCATTCATCAAATCATTAATAATATTATGTTTATCATATTTTTATTTTTATATTTTTATCAAAAAATTAATTAATTTTAGAATAATATATAAATGGGTATATACATTACTTGAAAAGATGAAACAATATAAATATAAATAATTATTATTTAAATATAAAAACTCAAAATTAAAATATTATTAATATTTTATATGTTACATCGCAAAGTACATCCATAGGTAAATATTTAAGCATAAAACAATAATCCTAATCATCAAGAGGTAGTCCCTATAACAACTTCAACTCTATTATTTGTTTCTAAAATTTGTAAGATGTGCGCCATTTGTTCTGAGGGAGATTCCGTTATATTCACTTTTCTCAATTCATTCAAAAAAAATAGTTCAGTTGGGAGATTATCTAACAGTGGACATTTGTGGATAATCACATTTTGAAGCCTCCGCATTGCACCATTGCCTATTTCCCACTTTCGAAGTCGCATATATTTAATTTCCAACACTTCCAGCTGTGGGAAGCTGCCATCCATACAATTAAGGTCAATGGAATCCCCAGACTGAAGTATATTTCCCCAAAGTCTCAAAATTTTGAGTTTGGAGTGATTTCCCAGACTGTTCATCCCCTCATCAGTAATGCACTTAATACCTGACAACGATAACTCTGTAATGTTAGGGGGAAATATTACCTCAGAGGTTAGAAGGTCCAAAACATTACCAATCACTAAGATAGTTAGACAACTTAATTGTCCTAGGCTTTGAACCAGTTCTTGCGGCTTGTGACGTCCGATCAAAATCACTAATTTATTCAAATGCTTTAATTGTTGTAGGTTCGGTAATTCACCTTCACAACCATGAGCCTGCACGTCCAACCCCATATTCTTAATGTTGGGGAATGTTCCTTTCTTTATTAAAGATATTGCTTGCTTATTGAGTATAAGGGGAGAGATGGTTTGAAGATTCCACATCTTCTCATCTGATTCTGAACATCTTCCTCGCAACTCGATAGGACCTCCTGTATTCAAATGCCTTAAATGTTTGAGTTTCCACATTTGAACAGGGAATGACGTTATTGTACTCTTAAATATTTGAGTTTCCACATCTATGGTTTGTAGATTCCAAAGGTTAAGTATTGAATCTGGAACAAATGTACCAAACATTAAGTCTATTCTCAAGTACCTTAAGTGGATGAAGTTTCCTAAATTGGAAGGGATCTTGTGGCAACTGTTAGGTCCAAACTCTAACACTCGAACCAATTTGAAGTCGTCCAAAAGCCATTTCCACTCTCTGCCATGAACCTCATAATGTGGCCCAAAGAAAAACAGGGAACGAATACATGAATGGTCATTGTTGCTTGAAGAAATGTAATGACCTATGTCACTGTGAATGGAGAGTCTGCGAGGTTTGGTAGGGATTAGAATGTTATTGTTTGTGCAAACTTCAAACACTTTGTCCTCTTTGCTCTCTGATATGCAAAGATCTCGAAGAAGATCATGAACCTTACACATCTCTAAACCTCCATTAAATTTCACTCCTGTTACTTGGACCAAACTGCGATTGATGAGTTCATACAAGTAGTCTTCCGCAACATCATCTGGATCTCTATTTCCTGTATCTTGTATAAAACCCTCCGCAACCCATTTTTGCAATAATGGCGTAACAGGTATTTCAAAGTCTTCAGGAAATAACCCAAGATAGAGAAAACATGGTTTTAGTCTACTTGGCAAGTTGTCGTAACTGAGTTTGAGAACTATATCTTTCACCTGAGTCTCATCTCGAGTGAGATACCAATTAACATGATCCACCACTTTAGACCATTCTCTATGTGACTTTTCCTTGTTGGCTAGCAGCCCTGCTAAAACAATGATGGAGAGCGGCAAACCACGACAACTTTGAACCATTTGCTTTCCTAGAGGCTCCAAATCAGAAGGCAAGTTTTCACCTCTGAACACTTTCCTGCCAAACAACTCCCAACTTTCTTCTTCACTCAGGAATTGAAGATAGTGAGGAACATCATCACCAGCATGCAAGGCCACCTCTTTCAAACGACTAGTGATCAATATTATGCTGCCTTTGTTGTTGTCCGGAAAAGCATCTTGCACCTCATCCCAATCTTGTTTTTTCCACAGGTCATCTACCACCACAAGATACCTTTTCCACTCCAAGCAGTTTCGCACCAATTTCTTCAGTTCCTCGTTACTAAGGTCGTTAATGTCTCCTACGCTTTTCTTACCTCTTTTGTTGCCTCTACGTTGCTGTTCAAAATTTGGCATCAAATGCTTAAGAAGGTCAATCAAAAGATCATGAACTCTACACTCGTTTGAGACATAAACCCATGCACGACAATCGAAGTGGTTCTTCACCTGGCTGCTATTATAGACCTTTCGGGCAAGGGTGGTCTTCCCCAATCCCCCCATGCCAACGATAGAGACAACTTTACGAGTTGAACCACCTCCCACGAGTCTCTTGACGACATCCTTGGAGTCTTGGACAAAGCCAACCACATGTTCTTCCTCCACATCTCTTCTTAGCTTCTGTAGCGATTGCAACCTTTTCTTCTCCTCCTCCTCTTCTGCTTCTGCTGTGGATTGATTAGTGGTTTCTTTGAAAGCGTCATATTTGTCCTTGTTGTCGCGTATCTCATTGAGAGTGGTTTTGAGCTTGTCAATTTTGTCGGTTACGTTGTGGAGCAACCTTGCTTGGCCAAAGCCACAGAGCATCCTCCCCATAATGGTTCTCCTCTTGTAAATGGAAACTTTGGCTACGAAAGTGTCGATGACATCCTCAGCTAAGTGGGCCACATCTCTGATGTGGTTGAATACAGTATGTTCCATTCCCTTCTTTTTCTTTGTGGTATTGAGGAGCTCTTTGATCATCTGAAGTTCGTACTGGAGGGACTGGACTCTATCCTCCACGCCATACAGCAAGTTAACTTCGCGTGCGGCAAGCTGGGCTAAGTGATCTAAAACAAAGGTAACTACCCTTTCTGCCATTACAGCGTGGACGAGCGTGTTGATTTCGATCTGTGCTTGGATACTGGGTTTGTGGTTGGTGATGGAAGTAATAGGGATTTACTAAGGCACCAGAAAAAGCAATCCAGTATAGCTTTCAATCGCATAGAAAAGAATATCGAAATGCATACTTTGCAAAGTGGCTGCAATTAAGAATTTATAAAGACTTGGGTTGTGGTTTTATTGGTCCATTGACTGTGCGTCAACCATTACTACTTTTGAAGTAAACCTTCCCATTGAATGCATAATGTGAGTAGCGTAGCACCTTCCTGCCATATGCATTGTACCTTCTACGCATTGGGCCTAGAATATTCATATTGAGAAATGATATTTTTTCAAACACAAATTTTTTAAGACATTATTCTTCCTTATTTTTTATTTTTTTATCATCATTAGAAAAATAATATGTATTAAATGAATGTAAATATATGTTATTCTCATTATTCTTATATTTATGACAGTTCTGTGTGTTGTTTGGTGGTTATTAGATGGCATAGAATAATATATATGTAAGAGATTCATTTGTTTTATTTCGTCTTTATATATCAACGTTATCGCCCAACGTATTCAAACTGAATCCACGGCACTCCATCGCTTCTGATTGGATCAAATTGACTTAATATATATTCTAACAATTTCTAAACACTAATATCTCATATTCACTAAATAAAATAGAAGAACTTATTCATATACTAAATATGTCAATTACTTTATTTTGCTTAATTTGTAAGGTCAAACTAAATTCATTAAAAGGTTTAAACGAAAAATAAATACAAATTTTAATGAATTAGTTTTGTTTATTTAATTTTTACAAAATTTGTATGATTTTTTATATATATACATATAACTGTCGTTCTATAAAACAATTCCATTTATATACTCAACCAAACCTTTTCTCAATTCCAACTCTGATAATACAGTACAATTTTCTCTTCCAGTTTCAATTTTTTTTTACGCATATAAGTAATTGTTTTGCGTTATTTTTCTGAATTAGGGTTTTCTTCAAACAATTTTTACATTATTTTTGTTATTATTATATATCACTGTTCAATAAATAAAAATAATGTTTTTTTTTTAATTTAGCTTATACGCATAATGTTAAATCAACATGTTTGTCTTTTAAGTTATTGAATTTTAAACGGGTTAAATATGTTTTTGGTCCCTTAACTTTTAGTGAAAATTGGAATTAGTCCTTCTTCAAAATTTTGGCCTAATTTAGTCCCTAAACTTTAGAAATGTGTGAATTTAGTCCTTTTTAACTAAATTTTGTTAAGTTTATTTGATGTTTCAAGTGCGTTTCATGATAGCATTTGAGTTATTTACACTGTTTGACACATTTTTGCTTCAATGTTAACTGAAAAATGCGTTTGAAACATCAAATAAAGTTAACAAAATTTGGTTAAAAGGATTAAATTCACACATTTCTAAAGTTTGGGACTAAATTAGTCCAAAGTTTCGAAGAGGGACTAATTCCAATTTTCACCGAAAGTTAAGGGACCAAAAATATATTTAACCCTTTTAAACACTTTTCTCTAAATATACCAATGTCATGATTGAATTTAAGCTAAATGATATGGGCACAATTTATAATCAATAAGTTGAAAACGCAACTAGTATAATTATATGAAAAACAATAAATAATTTGTCTATGCGAATACATTCTTATTTTATATAAAAGAGTGTTGAAACATGCTAGAGTGGAAGAAACTTTCTATTAAATATTTATATAAAAATTATTTTTCATAATATATATAATACTATATGAAATAGTTGCCTTAATATTGTGACAGCAAAAAATAACATCACTAATGTAAATTAAACGAGTTCTTTAATTACCCGTATAGATGTCACTTTTAGTTGTCAATCATTTGAAGAGTTTACTAGAATTAGTTTCATCTAGTAATTATGTGACAGTTCTTAACCTTTTGACATAAGTTCTTATGTACTACAATAATTAATGATCTTAAACAAATATTTTAAGAATTTTCAAAATCTTTATATATATATATATATATATATATATATATATATAAATTTTTGAAATGCTAAATATATAAAATATATTAAATGTGAAATATTAGTTGAGAAATGCATTTGAAATAAATTTAATAAAATTTAGTTAAAAGAATTAAATCTTCATATTTATAAAGTTACGAAAAAAATTTGTTTAAATTTTTGAAAATAGACTAATTTTAGTTTTTACTAAAGGGACAAAAATATTATATTACTTTTTATTATAATTTTTTTCTTTTAATTGTTTGGTTTAATGTGAAATCAATTCACATCTGTATGATATTTTCTCTCTCATTATAACCTTTATGTATTTATATTTAAATTATATATGTAAATTCAATATTCTATTTCTTATATTTGAATTTTTCTACTTATTTTTAATATTTTATTTATTTATTTTTCACAAAAATATTTAACTCTTGATTAAAGTGTTAAATAATATAAATCCTTCATCTATTTGGTAATGTAAAAAAATTATTTTCTTTATCCTTCATATATTAAGCAATATAAAAAATTTATTTTCTTTATTCAATTATTATTAAAGACACCTTCATTATTTTTAAAATTGAAATATTTAATTGCATATTGCTTACCGCATGACACCTTCCTGCGAAGTGCACATTTGGCTCAGAATAATATATATGTAAGACATTTTGGGAGTAGTTGATCTATATAGCCACTTTCTTCTAGATTCTGCGCATGAGCAAACTCATATATATATATATATGAGTTTGCTCATGCGCAGAATCTAGAAGAAAGTGGCTATATAGATCAACTACTCCCAAAATGTCTTACATATATATTATTCTGAGCCAAATGTGCACTTCGCAGGAAGGTGTCATGCGGTAAGCAATATGCAATTAAATATTTCAATTTTAAAAATAATGAAGGTGTCTTTAATAATAATTGAATAAAGAAAATAAATTTTTTATATTGCTTAATATATGAAGGATAAAGAAAATAAT